GTGTGTGTGTGTGTGTGTGTGTGTGTGTGTGTGTGTGTGTGTGTGTGTGTGTGTGTGTGTGTGTGTGTGTGTGTGTGTGTGTGTGTGTGTGTGTGTGGTTGTGTGTACGTGCGCGCGCGTGTGTGAATGCGTGGATGCGTGCGTGTGTACGTGCGTGTGTGTACGTGCGCGTGCGTGTGTGCGTGCGTGTGTGTACGTGCGCACGCGTGTGTGAGGGCGTGCATGCGCGCGTACATGTATCTGTAATAACATCAAGAGCTAATAATACCAAGAGGTATTATTAGCTCTTGATAACATGTACGTCTGATAGCGACGATGAACGTGAATCAAACCGTGTACTATAATAAATTATAGACTGCTAATCGTGCAAAGTCCATCACTGTCCAGCGCTCTATTTAGCCCGATCTCAGGCGCGCGTGCAGCTATAAATATATGCACCGTAATTATCCGATGCTATTACCTGCATCCTCGTTACCGTTTCCGACTATGTTCTATTTACGCCGATTTTATGGCAAGGGGTATAGTGCGATACCCACGGTGGAGATAACCACTTGGTAACGCGCCACTGGTAAAACAGTGTGAGGTTAGCCACCTTGTTGAGCCAGGGTAGGGTTGGGTTGATAAGCAATGGCAGGTTTAACCAACATAATAAAACGTCCAAATAAACCAGAAAAACTCAATTTTTAGGATCCGTTGGAAACAAGCTTCTCTGACGTAAACAGTTGCATTCCCGCCTTCGCACACTGTCACGGTGCCAAGAAGAGAGCCTTGCAGGCGGCGGCACTCGGCAGTGAAAACTGTGAATCTGTTCACTAGCCCACTAGGCCACTAGCCCAGTAGGTCACCCGAAAATTATTATTATTACGGGCTTTGTATAGTTGGTAGGCGTTTACTATGACCACGGGTTAAAAATGACAAAATAATAAATAATAATAAATGATAATTATAAAATATCTTAATAAATAAAATAAAATAAATCAATTATAAAATAATTTGTCATTATTAACCCCTGCTATGACTTGGCTACGAAACGCGGTTCCCCGCGCATGCGCAGTCTAACTGCAAAAATTGTTTATTAGTTCGCTCCGTTTTAAAGGGAAACATTATTGTAGGTTTAATACAATTTTTCATTTAAAGTAGGAAATTCATAAAGGTGGGAAGTTTTCATAAAATATTCGTGGTTCAATATTGACATAATTATACATGCACAATTTTACCGAAATAATAGTGAAATATTTATAACAAATAGCAATAATAAACAAATTGCTGTTGATAAACTGTAACGGTAAACTGGCCTGTATTTCTATACCGCCCGCGTGTATGCATGGCTGGTTACCTACAATGGGCGAGAATAGCTACAATTAGATCCATGTTACCAGAGCATCATATACGTGCTCTGATGTTAGGCACGAGCATAGAGCGGGCAGCCTAGCGGCCACCGTAGTTTGCATAGCTCTCAGGTTGCGTCATTTCCGGGGGGTGCTCGTAGTAATGGCCAAGGCCTGTGAGTCAGACACAGGAAAGCGATGCCTAGAAGCGATCCGCGAACGAAATAATAGAGCAATGCGAATTAGAGGTGGGTGGGAGAGACACGAGGAGAGGGGCGTGGGAAGTGAGAAAAAGTGAGGGGGAAAGAAGAGCTAGCGAGAGCAAGAGCGAGAGAAAGAGATACCTTCTCACCGTGGTTCAATATGCAATATAATGCTTATTTGTTTTTATAACGTACGCTTGTAACGTGTGCTTGTAATGTGTAATTGTAACGTGTGTTTTAGGCGTGGTTGTAACGTGTGCTTGTAATGTGTAATTGTAACGTGTGTTTTTAGCGTGCGGTTGTAATGTGTGTTTGTAACGTATCGTTGTATAGCGGCCTTATATGCTAATTATGGTGACGTCTGTTAGAAGATCCGAACAGATCTGGAAAGATGTGATCTCTCCCTGTCAGACATAGGGCCACAATTATACGACCCGAACTAAAGATTAATCAATCGTTCCAAACCAACCAACTCCACTCAATCGTTTACTCTAGCACCAACTAATTGTTGTTCAGGGCTATGCAACAGGTCTATTCATGCTATACATCCCGTAACCACAAATATGTTATCAGTCACCCGATATATCGATTTCTAAATGCTTGGAAACAAAATCGATTTGTTTGGAACTAATTATAATAATAATCGATATATCAGTCCTAGTAAAAAACCACGTCCTGCCTTTGGATATTGTTACCACGCGTACGTGTTTTTCGCGCGTACATCTCAAATTTCGGTACTCGAATTTCCGGGGTACTGGGTAACGTTTTTAGAACGCCATTTCGCAACGCCGATTGGCTAGAGCTACGTGTCAATAATGACATTAAATTAAACAGATAAATTATTACAATGCTTCATGATAACAACCTAAATGATAGTTTGCTCATTGTTTTGATTTACATATCTGCTATTCTTCTTGCTTATTCAGTATGTGCGGTGCGACCGTGTCGGAGAATGATGTCACCGGATTGAAAGAATCTGATGCCTATTATAAGGAATATAATAAGGCAATCAAGTTGATATTACTCGGTGAGTTTTGACACGCACACGCGCACACAGACAAATTAAACATAAACGCGCACACACACAGATACACACACACACACACACACACACACACACACACAC